CGCAGCTGTCTCTCTGCAAGGTTCACGGGCACTAACCAGCCATCCGCTGAGCACTAGCTCTGCCTGCTAGAACTTCGGCTAATCTTCCCTCTTTCCCTTTCCCCCTACGCTGCTACTTGCGAGCGCTGCTGGTATTTGGCGTATAGGGAGGCACAAGGGAGACAAAAAAATGGGCTCGTCCGAGCTCTGCGCGTGTCAACTGCCGCCTATATGGGTGATGGAGCGGGACTCCTCTGCTGATCTTCTCCTGGACACGGGAGCGATCCTCCAATCCAGTGTCCAACTGAGGGCACCTCTTTGCGGCGTCGCCTGTGCCCAGCGACAGCTAACGAGCGCCAAGATCTGCACGAAGCGATGGAATTAGGCGTTGCCGCCCTCAAACTTTGACTATCCATGCTCACCAATTCAACGCCTCTTCGCCAAATAAATCTTTTCCTTCTGGACTTTTTCACCGTCACGGCGCACTTTACTTGTGCGTATACGCGTATTATAAAATTAAGGGAGTTTTTCCACTCCGCACAACTGCACTGACTGGGGGAACCAAAAGCGAAAGACCGAGCTAGACGCTTCCGTTTAAGCGCCAACCTCATGGTCTCGAAAAGGTTAAAAGGGCCACTGAGTGAAAGGCCTGACATTTGCCCCTGTTACTCTCTTTTCCTCCGAAAATTCCTTGACCCGATCATCCAATCTGAGCCCTAGAGGGCGCCACCTGACCTTCCCCTGGCCGACAGAGAGCGCCACCCGCTAACACTCTAGATGCTGCTACAAGCGTTACAAAAACCCCCCGCCAAAGATCAGACTTGGGGGTCAAACTCCCAAGGATGACAACCAAGCAGCTTGAAGCAGCTGGCTTACTGCCGCATATCTTTCGCGTGGAACCGACCTACAAAACGACCCTGCAAATCTTCCAAATCATAGTAAGCCTGCCCTATCTTCTTCTTGACCCTAGCCTTCAGAAAGGCAGGACCCAATTTCGCACTGTAGCCTGAGGGAAAACTACTCTGCCTGAAATTCTTCCTAAAAACTTCCTGTCCAACATCGTAAGAAATGTCCCTTGATCGTAAATTATACTGCCTTTCATTTTTATGGTTCTGCTTTTTCATGACTTCTAGAGCCCTGCTCCGGACCAAGTCCAACGAATCCTCCCGAGAGAAAACTGCTGACTTATCATCCACCATACGCAGTGCTCTCAGAAGCTTATATGTGGCTCCTGAAGTGATGAAGTGCTGTCCAAACACCATGTAATACGGAGTGGTATTAAGACTGGCATGCACTGCTGAACGCAAAGCGCAACAGATGCTGCTGAGCTGCTCGTCCCAGTCCTTTTGATCCTCGCGTACGTACGATCGGATGGCAGCGATTACCGAGCGATTCACCCGCTCGGAAGCATTAGCCTGGGGTGAATACAGAGCTGTGAAAGTGTGTGCAACCCTATACTCTCGGAGAAGCTTTTGGAATGCCTCGGACTTAAACTGCGTGCCATTGTCAGACACCACTGTTTCCGGCACACCAAAAGCGTGAAAGAGATCTTGCTGCATATATTTTACCACCACATCCGCAGTCAACTTCTTTACCGCCTTTAGAAAAACATATTTGGAATAGTGATCCAAAACAATAAAAATGCCTATGTGACCACTTCTTGACCGGGGATATGGTCCGAGGAAATCCACGTACAACTTCTGGAAGAATCGCTGCGACTCGGGAGCAACCCCCATTGGCGGTCTCTGGATTGTGTTTGGAGCTTTGGTTGACTTGCAGCTATCACAAGCCTGAATGTGCTTCTTGACATCTGCAACTAACCCTGGCCAGTAGTAATACCGCCGTATCCTCTCCAGAGTTTTGTGTATGCCTCCATGGGAAGCCAAAGGATGGTCATGCGCATTTCGCAAAACTTCTCCCACTAACCCTTGCGGAACCCATAACTTCCAAATGAATACATCATGCAGCACCTCTCCCTTTGCATGATCTGACTTACGATACAGTAAATTGTCCACAATTTTTAGATCTGGCAACTTGTCGTTATTGGCCCTAACCCTTTCTACCATCTCTACATACTCTTCTGACTTAAATTCCGGCGATTCCAAGTCCACCAACAAACCATGGCTCGCATCCAAAGTCGCCAACTCCTCTTCATTTACCCGAGACAGAGCATCCGGCACCACATTGAGCTTGCCACTACGATGCTCGATCCTAAATGAGAAACTTTGCAGCTTCAACGCCCATCGAGCTAGCCGCGAATGCAAATCGGTTTGTGACATGAGCCACTTCAACGAGGCGTGATCCGTGATTACGGTGAACTCATGCCCCTCAATGTAAGCTCTGAACCTGTTTATACAAACTATGGCGGCCAAACACTCTTGTTCAGTGACCGAATAGTTCTTTTGGGCCTTGTTGAGTTTTTTAGACACAAACGCGATTGGGTATTCATCCCCTTCAAGCGTCTTCTGCACCAACACGCCGCCAACGCCTGTTTTACTCGCGTCGCAGTGCACGTAGAACGGTTTGTTGAAGTCGGGACTTCGCAGAACTGGTGCTGAACAAAGCATTTCCTTCAGCTTTTCAAAAGCCTGCTGACCCTCTAGAGTCATTGAAAACTTTTGCTTAGGCTTCAACAAATCCGTAAGAGGCGCGGCCACAGAAGCGAAATTGCTTATAAACTTCCGGTACCACCCAACCATACCCAGGAAACGCCGCAACGATTTTAGAGACTTTGGCAAAGGAAACTCTGACATCGCCGAAATTTTATCCGGATCTGTGCGAATCACTCCTTCGCCGACAATGTGACCCAAATAACGCACCGATCTCATACAAAATTTGCTTTTCTCTACGTTAAGCGTTAATCCCGCCGTTTTTATATGTCCTGCCACCACACTCAACACCCTCATATGCGACTCGAAACAGTCCGACACGATCAAGAGGTCATCCAAGTAGACGAACACCTCATTTCGTAGGCCTGCCGGAATGACCTTATCCATTAGCCTCGTCATGGTCTGCGACGCATTTGTGAGGCCAAACGGCATTACCTTGTATTGGTATAGAGGTTTTCCGGGAATGGTAAAAGCTGTTTTATCGCGTGAACTTGGCTCTAATGGGACTTGCCAATAGGCATCCTTAAGATCAAGGCTCGAAATAAACATCGCCTTTGGCAGACGGCCTAAAATGCCGTCAATCTGTGGTAACGGGTACGCGTCCTTTTTGGTTACAGCATTGACTTTTCTACTATCCAAACACAGACGCACCTTTCCTGGCTTCTGCACCAAAACGACCGGTGAAGACCACGCGCTATCCGACTCTTCTATTACCCCTAAACTAAGCATCCTGTCTATCTCCGCGTATAATAAACGTTCTACCGCAGGAGATACAGGGAAATGCCTCTGCTTCACGGCTTTTGCATCCCCAACATCAATTGAGTGGGACAGCAAAGTAGTTTTTCCTAAACCGGAAACGGCGAATGACGGAAACAACTTAATGATGGCTTGCAGTTGTTCCATCTCCCTTTCACTGAGGTTTTGTGACTCCTGAGCTATCTCCGATATTGTCATACTGGGTGGCAATAACTCAAAGCTTGACCAAAAATCAATCCCTAAGTATAAGTCCTGACTCAGTGATGGGATTATGTGAAATTCAACGTCTTTGACCAAATCCTTATACTTCACAGGTGTCCGCAATCGACCCACTACCTCCTGCTTTCTCCCGTCAGCCGTGGATGCCGCTACCATACCCCTTTTAAAGGGAATACGGCTTTGTATTACCCGCTCAGCTAAATTTCCGCCTATCACGCTTATAGCGGCGCCAGTATCTAACAACCCCAGCATCGTTTGATCGAGCAGACGAACTTCCGCATATGGACGCTTATCTCGCTGCTTGTAGCGAATGCAATTGATCGCCTTTGCCGCCTGCCAAAACGCTCTCATCCTTTTTGCACTTCTTGCTGAGGGTCTGTTTCTGGGTTCGTCCTCTTTAGGGTACGTATGGAGCCTGGACGAAACTATTTGTGGCCACACTAAGGCTTGGCTATGTCTAACTCTGATTTCTCCGATACGCACAGGGGGATGGTATCATTTTTTCCTACTGGGAATTCGCCTCTACACTTAACTGCTTGTGACGCTGAACACCGACCGGCTGGCGAGGCTGGGTGTTCGCTTTGCCGTTTTTTTGGCACTTGACACAGGAAGGCTTATACTTGTTAGGTGCTCCACACCCGAAACAAAACACCTTTCTCTTGCTATCACAGTCATGATAGCGATGCCCCTCTTTTCGGCAATTCCAGCAAACTAATGCCATGGCGGCAACCTCATCTTCTCCCTCAGCGTCCGAAAATTCAGAGGCATCCTCCAACTGGACTTCCTCTATCAATTCTGCGACCTGTTTCCGGAAAGGAATCGACTTCTGGTAACCATGACTCCGCTTCACGTCATCGAGAAAACCCTCTCTTCGACGACAGACCTCTCTCAAACGGTCCACCGAATCTATTTGTACATTGAGAAGCTCATGCCTGATCTCGGGTCGCAAATTTCGACGTAACGTCTCAACTATGGCTTTTTCGGACATGGGAGTTTCCAAATCGTCCATTAACTGTATTAGGGCGTCATGGAAGGAGTCGAAATTTTCTTTCTCTTTTTGTTTCCTATCCCTAATTGCTTCCCTAATATCTAGATCCGTTCGCGAATCCCTGAATTGCTTCCTTAATGCTTGGCATAAGAGATCCCACCTCATTGTAGTGGCAGACTTATGGAACCGCCAATAAAAGTCTCTAGCTTTTCCATCAAAAAGCAGACTGGCGTTGCTACACAGCACCGAAAAATTCCCTTCCAGAGTCTGATGTGTCAAAGCTTCTACTCTGTACAGAAAATTATCCACGCTTAAACCTTCTTGTGTCCCATTAAACCGCAGCTTCCAACTGTTGAGGATATGGCCAACTTTGTCGGGTCGTTGACTTAAATCGGAAACTGCACTACTTGGACGCTCATAGTGAGGATACTGCGAGGAAAACTGACTGTTCAGTCCCCGCGACCTGAATTCTGACTTTCTTCCCTTCTGTCTTGTGGGGCTGGATCAGTCGACTCTCCACATCTATCACCCTGAGAAGAACTGCTGCCTCCCGCCTGGAAATGATCTGCCATGCTGGACTGTATAATTTGTGCCATTCTATCTGTTAGCTGGGCTACCACCTCATCTTGCATGGTGCTAATAGCCTGTGTCACCATGCCACTTACTATTTCGGAAGTCATAGCTGCTGTCTCAATTTGCTTGGCTTGTGCCCTCGTATTATGAGGAGTACCCTTTTCGACACATACCGCCTTACATGTGGGACAGGTGGTGTGGGTCTTGACATATGCCTCTATGCAGTTTTTGTGGAACTCGTGACCGCACTTCGTTTTTAACGTAGGAGCAGCTGCCAAGATCTTCCCACACAGCTGACAATGAGGCGCCGAACCCGATGCCGGGTCATCCTCTGGTTTTCCCATCGCAAACAAAACAGAATTCTATTTCTTCCCAAGACTATGAAGGACTTGACGCCAGAAACACAAAAGCTAAAAACTCAAAACAAATTACGTAAAACAAGTAGAAGACACGTATTAACCAAAATCTTAAACCAAAAGTGAACGCAAAGTAATAAATAAAATAAATAAATAAATAAAATAAATAAATAAATAACTAATAAATAAGTGCAAATGAAATAAACAGATAAGTGTAACGATAATTTGAATAAGCTGAATAAATAACTAAACGATAAAAATGCTGGTAAACCTCAGAATGTATATGTTTTAACAAAAATTTAACAAAACTGTTGTTTTTCGGATTTATTTGGCTCCACTTTGTGCGTTGCCGGCAGAGGGTCAATGACCGCCGCAACAACTACAGCTGTTCGCACAGCGAGAGAGCCGAGTAGTATTCACAAAATCCCAGCATTAACAACGCTTTGAACCGAGTACACGAACATATATCGAGCAAAAACCACAAGAATAAAACGTAAAGAATGAGACAAGACAAAATAGAGTCATAAAAATATTTGCCTATACGCATAGCTAATCCCCATGCAAAACAGAACCTATGCTATTGGAGACAAAGCAAGCACAAAAGGAAATAGAAAGAATGTGTGCGCGCAGCCGCCGTGCACTTGTCGCTGCAAACATAAACCAACAACAAACGCAAGCGCGAGCCGTGGCCAGCTGCTGCTTTATCTACACCGCTGTAGTCCAAACGTCTCGGCTCTGCACTCTACACCAAACAAAACGGGAATGCTTCTTCTGATATCACTCGTGGCCTGGGGAATTTCTTTGGTCAAGATCAACCCTAGTATGTCCAACTCGACGACAACTCATCAGAAGCAATGGCTAAGCCTCTTGCATCAACTTTCAAACGTGGCCAGGGTTTCGTTTATAAACGAGATTACCTCTGTCGTCCTATGCGCCCGAAAGACCATGCTTATGAAGCTTGCCTAAGAAAAGTAGGGTATAATTGAGATTATTGCACTTTCGTAATGCACTTCAGACGTGGCCGGATGAGAAATCGAAACTTCTTCTTCCGTTTTCCGAATCGTCTGATGGGCACTTTACTAGGTGCTGATTAAAGAAGATAATATTCAACAATGACAGCCACAGCTCCCCAAATGTTTGGGTAGCTGCTCCACAAGATCCAACGATCTATATTGGGCTCTGCTGCCTTTGCTGAATTGGAAAATTTATGAAAATGGAAAAGGGATGTAATAGTATATATGGTGTCACACCTGAACAGGTGTGGCCCCACGTTGGGCGCCAATTTCTTATTATGATGATTTATCTTCATAATTCATAAATGTAACGTTTCATGAACACAAATATACAAATTATGCCAGGCTAGTTGTTGGTCAGCGAGGGGAAGCGCACGCTTAAGGTTTCCGGCCTCTGCTCGTCGGCTATTGGGGTGATGATCTTGCCCCCCTCATGCTGGTGGCCTATACTCATCCTACCAAAAATGAAGTAGCGTGCTACGACGAAAACTTAACCGGGAGATACTACCTATCCCGAATACAAGAAAAAGCTAGGGTCTGTGCTGCGAAGAGTTTCGACTCCGTCTCTGGTGTTAATTTTATTAATTTATTTATAATTTATAATATAAATTTATAATTTTATTTTAATATACTGTATGGTTAGTGGTGAAAGGCCTGACATTTGCCCCTGTTATTCTCTTTTCCTCCGAAAATTCCTTGACCCGATCATCCAATCTGAGCCCTAGCGGGCGCCACCTGACCTTCCCCTGCCCGACAGAGAGCGCCACCCGCTAACACTCTAGATGCTGCTACAAGCGTTACAATATCGACTCGGCTATTGATGCTGATCAAGAATATATATACTTTATGGGGTCGGAAACGTTACCTTCTCTGCGTTACACACATCCACTTTTACCACAAATCTAATATACCCCTTAACTCTTTTTTGAGTACAGGTATAAAAACCCATTTTTGCAACAATTTATTTTTGTCTTATAAATGGTCGAATTGGGGAAACAATTTTTTGTATTTCAGCTTTATAAATGAATTCCTTTTGAAAAAATATAGATATTTTCATGATATTAAATTTTTTTAAATAAACAAGAATGAACTTTTAACTGTCCACAGCGCATAATGAAAAAGTGACTTGACACTGGTTTTCGATGGGGCTCATTGTGCGAAGCTCGATGTCATATCTTCACGGAGTTTGGCGTCATATCTCCACTTAATTCTGGGCGGACATATGTCGTTTTTGAAACGACATATCTCCGCGCGGAAAATGTATGGGCGGAGATATGTCGCGCGGACTTATGTCGTTACCCCTTTGTAAAACAGTTGAACAACAATGTATGTTAAGCAGTTGAAAGAGACTGTATGTTCAGAAGTTGAAAGGGACTGTATGTTCGTAAGTGGAAAGAGACTGTATGGTCGGAAGTTGAAAGAGACTGTATGTTAAGCAGTTTAAAGAGACTATATGCTAAGAAATTCAACGAGACTGTTGATGAACGCATTGCAGCCGTTATAGAATTTCTTAAATTTCTTTTTATACCCGTACTCAAAAAGAGTTAAGGGGTATATTAGATTTGTGGTAAAAGTGGATGTCTGTAACGCAGAGAAGGAAACGTTTCCGACCCCATAAAGTAGATATATTCTTGATCAGCATCAATAGCCGAGTCGATAGAGCCATGTCTGTCTGTCCGTCTGTCCGTCTGTCCGTCTGTCCGTCTTTTTTGTCGGCTGGATCTCAGAGACTATAAAAGCTAGGGCAACCAAATGTGGTTTTCAGACTCATGTGATATCACACTGCTACAAGTGTATTTCAAAATTTCGCCCCGCCCCCTTCCGACTCAACAAAGGACGAAAATCTGTGGCATGCACAATTTTAAAAGCATCCGGTTGGTGTAGGAAGCATCAGGGCCCTGCGCCCGGGATACGGAAGTTCGCAGGTGGCTATCGTTGGACTCGCGTACCCATTGGCGAAGCGTCTCACTGAGGTGGGCAAAATAAAGATTGGCTGGACGAGATACAGGATCGTAGAACGATCAGGCCAGAGGCGCTGCTTTAAATGCCTAGAGTTCGGGCACATTGCAGCCAGGTGTACGAGCAACATCGACCGCAGCAACTGCTGCTACAAGTGTGGAAAGAGTGGCCACAAAGTAGCCGGATGCACGGACGAGCCAAGGTGCTTTCTCTGTGCAGAAAAGCATCCTGCAGCGACTGACCACATAGCTGGCAGCAAGAGATGCCCGGGTAGACGAGCAGAGACTAAGAAACGGATAGCAAAGTGAGGTTTCTGCAGCTAAGCCTGAACCACTGCGAAGCTGCGCAGAATCTACTCTGCCAGCTAGTCAGAGAAACTACAGCGGATGTGGCAGTTCTCTCCGAACCATACCGCAGAACCAGCAACACCAACTTCATTCTTGATAGCACGAAAACGGCAGCGATATGGGTATGGGGCACTCCACCCCCCAAGCTGAGTCTGTTCGCAGGGGAAACGGCTACGTAAGAGCCAAGGTTGGCCAGTTTTGGCTGTACAGCTGCTACCTGGCACCACGCCTATCTATCCAGGAGTTCGGAGCCATTCTCGATGAGATAGCAGACGACGCTAGGGGACGGCCAAACATCATCATGGCCGGCGACTTTAACTCTTGGTCAGAGGAATGGGGATCGAGGTCCACCAACGCTAGAGGTCGCACTCTCATGGAAGCCTTTGCCACTCTAGAGCTACAACTTCTCAACACCGGATCAGAGCACACCTTCTCCCACGCTGGGTTGGGATCTATCATCGACCTTACCTTCTGCAGCACCGCTCTCTTTGGGAGAACAGCGTGGGGACTCAGCAGCGCATACACGGCTAGTGACCACAACGCTATCATCTGCAGCATCGAGGCCCACCCACAAGGGACAGCTCTCCAACCAAGGACGACCTTCAATGCCAGAACCCTCAGGCCGGACATCTTGTCAGAGCTGAGCATTCCCGAGGCCCCGGGAACCGCAGAGGACTGCGCAACGAACCTCATCGGCGCATTGACAACGGCATGTAGGGCAAGCACAAGGCAGCAAAGAAGCCACTCTCGCCACCGCGAGCCGGTCTTTTGGTGGAGCATGGAGATTTCCGAGGCTCGCACCGAATGCATTCGTGCTAGAAGACGCCAAACTCGCGCGAGGGGATCCCAAGCCTTCCCATTGATGTCCCAGGAGTACGCAGGAAACGCCGTGCTCTTAAAAGGCTTATCAGAGGAAGCAAGAGGAATTGCTTCCTTGAGCTGTGTGACTCAGCGGAAAACGACCCCTGGGGCCTCGCCTACAAGGTGATAGTCAAGAAGCTTAACGCGGTGAAGCCCCTTACCACGGCTGACCCCGTTTAAATGAAAACCATCGTCGAAAGCCTCTTCCCTACCGTCGACCCAGCTGTCAGCCCGTCACGAACTCCTTATCGCCACATCGGATGGAGCGACATAACGGCGAGCGAAATCCTGGAAATCGCTGGAGCAACCCCAACCGGCAAGGCGCCAGGCCCGGATGGCATCCCTGACACCGCAGTCAAGCTGGCAATGACCGCGCACCCGTCGGATTTCGCGCAGGCTTTCAACATGTCCCTCCGTGAACGAGTCTTCCCAACGCCTTGGAAGCTCCAGAAGCTAGTCCTGCTGCCGAAGCCTCAAAAGGAGGACCCCTCGTCGTACAGACCCATCTGCCTAATCGACAACGTGGGCAAAGCACTGGAGCGCTGCATTTGCAGGAAGCTCCAAGCCGAAATTGCGCAGGCAGGTGACCTGTCCCCCATGCAGTTCGGTTTCAGGAAGGCAAGATCGACAACTGACGCGATCCGCATAGTGACGGACATCGCGGCAAAAGCCATAGAGGGCACCAGGTGGCTTGGAGGGCGGAAGCAGTACTGCCTCGTTGTCACATTGGATGTCAAAAACGCATTCAATTCGGCGAGGTGGGACGTCATCCTCAGGTCCCTCTAGCGGCTGGGAATCCCAGACTACC